TGAGCAAGGATGGTGAAAGAGGAAGACTGACTGGTGAACGGCCAGCCAGCCAGACGTGGTACAACCATCTAGAACCTTTGTGAGCAATTTTGGCAACCGAATATGGCCTGGAAGAACAGAATCACACAGGTGACTGAAAGGTACAATTCCTTCTTTTTCCCCATGCTCCCCTGGTGAGCAGAGGTGTGGTCAGCTCTCATCCTCATATACCCCGTGCAGACCCTGCTCTCCAGGAGTCCAGAGCCACGTGGTTAAGAACCACACCAGCGTGAGGTAGGGACCAGCTGCTCTGATTTGGTGTGCTGTTTTGGTGCCTGGATTCAAGTGGGCTCAACTTAGGACCTACTGAACCCACAGAGACACCAGACCAGCATTTAACCAGTCACATTGCTACCAGCGGCCCTCTGATCCTAACAGACACCAAAAGTAGCTCTATCTATCACGGGATTCCACAAACTACTTCCAGAATGCGTGTCCTGAACACTGAAGCCTATAGGATCTCAATCTAGGACCAGGAATTCCAATGTCACGTTCCTCCCACATTCACCTCATAACCTCCTTGGCTTACAGAAGTCCCCCAGAGTGTTCTCCATTCCAGGTCCAAAAGCTGCATTGGTTTTTTTGTTTTGTTTTGTTTTGTTTTAGGTTTTTCCTTGTGTTGTTTCATTGTTTTTGTTTGCCTATTCTTTTTCCTTCTTATTCTCTTTCCTCCCTTTAATTTTATCCTTTCTATCTCTGCTTTTGTTTTTCCCTCTTTCCTTCTGTTTCTCATTTCCCCTTATCTTTTTTCTTAGCTTTTGATTTTTTCTTTACTATTATTCTCTTTCTCATTTCATCTCCCCTCTCACTGGTTTTTCTTTTTTTTTTTTTCTTTTAATTTCTTCATTTTATTTTCTCTTCTATTGTTCCAATTTCCTGTTCCACTTTTCTCCTTTTATTCTTAAGTGTCTTTTTCTCTTCTACAGTGCCATTTCTCTGCCACTCTTTTGTCTTCATAATTGTTATATTCCTTGTTTTTGCTTGCTGACTGTTTTTATTTATTTTTTCTCTTTATTATTTTATCTTTTCATTGTTGGTTCCTAGTTTGTTTATTCTGTTGTGGTTGTTGTTGTTTCTTGTGTGTGGAGGGGGCAGTTTCTGTTTCCCACCCAACAGGAGACAGCAATCTTACCATACAGCCCAGCCATAACTGTACCCTCTGCCACTTCACTAACTAGGCAAGAGTCAATACCTGATCAACGACAGACAGCAGTCAACACCAGCCAAACCCACCTTAAACTGAGGTGTACGAACAGTGAATGAAAATAGTGTACACCATTCCACTCTCTAACTACACCCACAAGAAACAGTTGGTAAGAGCCTAAGAACATGTCAACATACAATTATCAGTTAAATACAAATACAACAACCCCACAATGCTCTAGAGACTACAGACAATTTTAGCTCATAAGAAGAAGCAAGAGAGAATGGCTTAAACAAATGATCAAGATGCAGAGCCAAAAATGTTTCTGAGGAAGAAAAGGCAATGAAACTAACTGAAAAAGAATTCAAATGAATGATATTTAGGTACCTTCAAAGGACTAATAGAAAGCTCAAGGAAAGCAAGGTGAACACAGAAAAAACTTTAGAAGAATTCAAGAAAACATGATGAGAACAAACAGACAAAATAAATGCAAATTTTGAAACAATTCAAAACCTACAATTAGAAATCCATAAGATTAATACTAAGATTTTAGAAATGGATAATACATTGAAAGGGCAAAGGATTACATTTGAAGCAATGGAAGCCTGAATTGCTGAGCTTGAAGATAAATCTCTCAGTCTCTCAATACTAGTATGCTAGAAGAACAATCAGAAAAAAGAATGAAACAAATCTGAAGAAAGACTGTAAATTATGTGGGATACCATGAAGAGGAAAATCTTACAGGTGATCAGAATTCCTCAACAGAAAGAGACAATAAAAAGCACAGAGAAAATTGTCAAAGAGTTGTTGGAAGAAAACGTCTCTAACATCATAAAAGGTGAGAAGATAATCATACAAGAAGCTAAAGAAACCCAATCAGGATAGATCCCAAAAGAAAATCATCAAAATACGTCATAATCAAACTTTGCAAAATAAAAAACAAGGAAAGACTCTTGAGAGCAGCTTGAGGAAAACAAAAATAAGACTAAGCTCTGATTTCTCAGCAGAAACCAGGTAGGCAAGAAGGAAAGGGGATGACATGCACAAAATACTGGGGGGAACAGAATTGCCAACCAAGAATCATATACCCAACAAAGCTGTCCTTCAAATATCACAATGAAATTAGGAAGTTTCCTTATAAATAGAAATTAAAGGAATTTGCAATGACCAGACCAACTATACAAGAAATACTAAAGAGTGTTCTTTGGGCTGAGAACCACCAACAGCAGACAACAGCCTGAGATTACCATCCATGACAACACCACCCAGAACTCAATCCAGATACAGAAGTATTTAAAGTAAAACAAACCTACAAGACTGAAAATAAGGAACCAGAGATATCAATGTATAATGAAGTCAACTACAAACCAAAAGTGGGTATAGCGTAGATACAGAACTTCTAAATGGCAAGGAAGGCAAGTAGATTTCAAAATAAAACAGATTGTTTCAAACAGGGAAAAAATAATAAATTAGAGGGTAACCTCAAGAAAATGAATACACCTGTACATAAAAATTTGAAAAAGAGGAAAATTGAAAGATTTATTAAACATTAACGAAACAGAAAAGAAAAAGAAAAGAAAATCCCCAGACAAAATGGACTCAGTGCAGAAAATGTGGAATAAAGAAATCAGCAGCACCACACACAAACACACACACACACACACACACAAAACAAACCCAGCAAAGTGATAGTAATTACGTCATTGTTGTTGTTGCTGTTAAGTGCCGTCAAGTCGGTTCCGACCCATAGCGACCCCGTTTAGGGTTTCTGAAGAGCAGCTGGTGAGATTGAACTGCCAACCTCGCAGTTCAAATGGCTTTACAGTCTGGCGCATTAACCCACAGCACCACACCAGGACTCCTATAGATAATTACACTGAATGTAAATGGATTAAATGCCCCATTCAAGAGTAGAACTGCGAAGTAAACAGGGTACTTCAATATACTGTCTATAAGAGACATATCAAAAAGATGAAGACAGCCTAAGGGTCTGTCAACAGGAGAATGATAAACAAACTTCGGTATATGTATATAATGGAATTCTATGCAACACTGAAGAATAACCACGAATCTGCGAAACATCTCATTACATGGATGAAGCTGGAGGGCTTTATGCTGAGGGAAATTAGTCAATCACAAAAGGGCAAATATTGTATGAGACCAATGTTGTAAAAAGTTAACAAACGGTTTTCCTGATAAAAGAAACAATCTATAGTGGTTATGGGGGCAGGGAAAGGGAAAATTATTCATGGGCTAACAGGTAGACATGTTAACTTGGGTGACAGGGCAGGCAACATACAACAAAAGGGAGGTTAGCAGAGGAAAGATGAAGGTAGGGGGAGACACAGGGAGAAGAGCGAGAGTTAAGGTGAATAGAGGGAAATTGCACTGGCACATAGAGGGGATTGCAATCATTGTAATGAAGCAAAGTATATGATAAAAAGGGGGGGCAATGCAATAGCCTTTTTCTTTTCTAACATTTTATTTCAAATTTTCAAAAAGAGACGTCAAAATAATTTTACAATAAACCCTGATAAACCCAATTCACCAGCTGCTCCTCGGAAACCCTACATTGGGTCGCTGTGAGTGGGAATCGACTTGACAGCACTTAACAACAACAACAACAAACCCACCACCCAGATTCTACCATTAACAACTCAGTATACTGCTGTCTAAGGAGCTCTGGTAGCGTAGTGGTTACGAATTGGGCTGCAAACCTTAAGGCCAGCAGTTCGAAACTACCAGCCGCTCCGTGGGAGAAAGATGAGGCGTTCTGCTCCCGTAAAGATTTACAGCCTCGGAAACCCTGTACAGGGTCGTTATGGGTCGGAATTGACTCGGACGGCACTAAACAACAACAACATACTGCTGTCTGTTAACACTCTCCCTACCCTTGGTTTGCCCTTCTCTAATGTCTCCCAATGACTCTCTTGGGGGGTACAAGAGTTAAAAAGCACAGCTGCTAACCAAAAGGTTGAAGGTTTGAATCCCTGACAATCTACTTTCAAAACAACCAGCACAGTTCTACACTGAAGCACATGGTGTTCACCACATGGATTGAAATCTACTCAATGACAACTTGTGCTAGCGGTAATGTATCTTCTATATTATTGAATTATTTATCTATCTAAAGTATAAAAGTTTTCAGTAGCCCTCTCTGCAATAGAGGTCCAATTCTTTGTCATAACATGTAAGGTCCTTTACAAAGTGACCGCAACTTACCTTTTCAGTATCAGTATCACTTCAGTTTTATTCCTCTTTTCTTTGTATATAAGTGTTCTTTGCCTGGACAGCTCTTACTCAGACAGGATAAAATCCCACTTACCCTTCATCCCTGCTTAGATGACACTTCCATCAAACCTTCTGCTGGCTATATTAGCTGCTCCCATTAAGCTCTGCCCATGCATCACAGTAGAGTTATAGTAGTTTGGCAATATGAGTTAATGTGCCAGACTGCAAAGCCATTTGAACTGCAAGGTCGGTAGTTCAAGCTCACCAGACACTCCTTGGAAACCCTATACAGGGTTTCTATGGGTCAGAACTGATTCGATGGCACTTAACAACAACAACAGTATGCATCACATTATACTGCAAATATTTATTTATGTCTGTTCCCTACCACACTATGAGATCATCAAAGACAAAAATCTATCTTATCATTCTCTGTATCTTTGCTGCCAAATAGGGTGCCTGACCCACTGTGGAACTCAACAGGCCTTGAGAAGAGAAGTTAATAAGTCTAGGGGATAAAGGAAATATATACAACCCTCAGTTTCCTGGGAGAGCACCTTTGATTCTGGGAAAGTGGAGTACCCACCTGTACAGGCATGCCCATATCTAACTTCAGCCCAGCATAGGGATCAATATAAATGGTGAGAATGTGCTCTGTAGGATCCTGAGCAAAGTGTTCCAGAATGGCATCATGCTCCTCTGTCCACGTGGCATCCTCAAGTCCTGTCAATGCAGCTTGAGAGATGAAAAGGGGCTTCTATATAAAGAAAGCAGACAGAGAGCCAAAATAGTTAGTGCTGTTACAATGAGTCACTGCTCCAACCCACAATCACATGTGTGGACATGGGAGACAATAGGAGTAGTCAGACAGGTTCAAGATAGTAAATATAAAGCTGAGACTGAACTGACTGATACGCTTCAAGTTTTGAAGGAACAACACAATAAGTTTTTCCTGGCTTAAGAACTGAAAAAAAAAAAAGACTGGCTAATAGAGGGAAACTATGAATATATGAATATTATCTTCCCAAGACATTTCAACCTATGGTTCTAAAAATGTATTTCAGGCAACCCTTAACATCATGGAAAATAAATTATAACTGGTGGTTAAAAATTACTTTGTAGAACTCTACTAAATAACTTAAGGACACTAGTAGATACAGCTCAGTGAGTGTGAAGTGTCACCCTGTCCTTCCCTCAGCACTCCTAAAAATGAGAAGGAATCATTCTTACTAAAAAATTTCCAAGTCAGTAAAATAATAATAGACAGTGATCTCAAATCTTTCCCATATAAAGATATAGATGAACCAATGAAAAAAATACCAAGACTCCAATAACTAAAAATAAAAGGCTAGGAATAAACACGTCATAACAAAAGGAAAATGCAAATATGAAAAACTGTTCAATTTCAATTGATATCAAAGAAATGCAAATACAAATAACAAAGAGACTATTTATTGAGTATAATTTTTTAAGTCCTTGCTAAAGGGTAACACCTAGTCCTGGAAAGGGCTTTTTACTAGTGAGAATGGAAAAAGTACAATCCATTTGGAAAGCAAACTGACATTATGTATCAAAATCATTATAAATATTCTTTATCCATGGGTTCAGTAACTATATTTATAATCTAAAGGAATACTGAATATTTCAAAAGTAATAATTTTATTTATAATATTCATCAGTATATTATACCCAAAAACTAAACCCAAATCAAGTGAAGTCTGACTCATAGCAACTGTCTGCTAGGCCTTCCAAATCTTTAAAGAAGATGACCATATTTTTCTACCATTGCGTAGCTGATAGATTGGAACCACTGGTATTTGGGATAGCATCTGAGCGCTTAACCACTGAGCAACCAGGGATCCTTCACAGTATTATTATAGGAAAAAAGAAAAGAAATGTCAAATGTTCAAGAGTAATTGTTTAACTATGGTACATATGCAAAGACCTAGAGGTGTTTGAAAACCAAAAGGGAAGAACGTGATTAGCATTTCTCAAACTGAAAGAAGTGAAGAAAAAACTCAAGCCTTGATTTACAATATTGAAAAGATTCTATGGGCAAAATAATGAAAAATGCAGAAAACATCAAAAGAAGATGGAAGGAATACATAAAGATACTGTAATAAAAATAATTGGTCAATGTTCAATCATTTCAAGAAGTTCCATATAATCAAGAACCAAGAACTGAAGAAAGAAGTCCAACTGCAATGAAGATATTGGCAAAGCACAAAGCTGCAGAAACTGGTGGAATATAAATTGAAATCTTTCAACAAACTGAAGCAGCAGTGGAGGCACTCATTCAGTTGTCAATAAATTGGGAAGACAATGACCAACTGATTGGAAGAGATGTGTATTTATGCCCTTCTAAAGAGAGGTGATCCAACGGAATGCAGAAATCATCGAACATTATCACTAATATCAGATGCAAGTAAAATTCTGCTGAAGATAATCAAAAATGCTTGCAACAGTACATTGACAGGGAACTGTCAGAAATTCAAGCCAGATTCAGAAGAGGACATGGAGCTAGCACGTCATTACTGATGTGTCATTGATTGAAAGCAGAGAATACCAGAAAGATGTTTTCTTGTGCTTTATTGACAAACTATGGATAGCAGTACCAAAAAAATGAGTATTCCAAAACACTTAATTATGCTCATGAGGAACCTGTACACAGATCAAGAGATAGTCATTTGAATAGGACAAGGACGGGAACACTAAATGATTTAAAATCAGGAAAGGTATATGCCAGGGTTATATATTTTCACCATATTAATTCAATCTGTATGCTGTATAATCCAATAAACTGGATAATATGAAGAACATGGCATCAGGATTGGAGGAAGACTCATTAACAACCTGCGATATGCATATGATACAACCTTGCTTGCTGAAAATGAAGAGGACTTAAAATACTGATGGAGATAAAAAATTATAGCCTTCTTAAAAAAAAAAAAATTACAGCCTTCTGTCATGCATATGGATTTTATGCTGTTATACATATGGATTTCACCTCAACATAAAGAAAACAAAAACAACTGGACCAATAAATAACATCATAATAAATGGAGAAAAGACTGAAATTGTCAATAACTTCATTTTGCTTAGATTCACAATCAACACTCATGGAAGCAGCAGTCAAAAAATTAAATGATGTATTGTTGTTGTTGTTAAGTGTCATCTAGTCAACTCTGATTCTGACTCCTATAGTGTTACTTGAGTCCTGGTATGACACTGTGGGTTAATGCACTGGACTGCGAAGTCACTTTGAACTACAAGGTCAGCAGTTCAAGCTCACCAGCTGCTCCTTGGAAACACTATACAGGGTCGCTATGGGTTGGAACTGACTCAACGACACTTAACAACAACATATATACATACATACATACATGTATGTATGTATATATGTGTATATGTATGTATCTATATATATATATATATATACACACAACTCCCAAACCTATGAACTGAAAGGAGACATTTACCAAAATATTAATTATCAACTGTGTCCGGGCAGTAGTGTAATGAGTTTTATTATTTTCTCTCTTCATTTTACTTTTCTGTCTCTTCCAATTTTTCTTTACTTAGTAGTTATTACTTTTCTCTCCCCACCCCAACTTTTTAAATAAATGTCAGGGTCACAGGTCTACTTTCCTAAGTCAAGGGATGGGTTTCTAACTGTGTGGATGACCAGGATCTATGAAAGTTGGAAGTAACGGATGTTGTTTTTGTTAAGTGCCTTCGAGTCAGTTCTGACTCATAGTGACCCTTTACAGGGTTTCTGAGGAGTAGCTGGTGGATTTGAACTGCCAATGTTGCAGATCAAACTAACCTTGTGGGCCAGTGCTTATCTACAGTGCCACAGTATCACACCAGGACTCCAAGTAGTGGTATGTTGTTGTTATTGCTGTTAAGTGCCATCGAGTCATTTGCAACCCATAGTGACCCTGTATAGGGTTTCCAAGAAGTGGTTAGTGAGCTTGAATCACCGACCTTGTGGTTCAAAGCAACTTTGCAGTCCAGTGCATTAACCCACAGCACCACACCAGGACTCAAGTAATGGTATAGGGGTCAGCTAATGCCAAATTCTCGAGGTGGCATCTATAAATTCTTCAGGCAAAAGAGAGAGATGAAGGAAATAAGAAAGTGGCTGAGAAATTAGTATCCAATTAGGAAAATATCTACTAACTTGTTCAATTTGTTCAGCTGTTCACCCATATTACTAACAAACCTTGTTACACTCTGACCCAAGAGAAGAGAAGGACAGCTGGGAGATCTGTGCCCTCTTTTCCTAGAGTGGTAGGGATCTGCATCATTTTGAACAGACTACCCACAGAGAATAAGTAGAAGAAAGTAACAAATTAGAGAGAATTTCGCATATACCATTCTACAATTTATCCATTGATTCACCAGTTGTGGAAGGAATATTTCGTAGTAAGCATCGTACTCTGGTAGCGTAGTGGTTACGAATCGGGCTGCGAACCACAGGGTCAGCAGTTCGAACCTACCAGCTGTTCCGCGGGAGAAAGATGAGGCTTTCTGCTCCCGTAAAGATTTACACCCTCGGAAACCCTGTACAGGGTCGCTATGAGTCAGAACCGACTGTAAGGCACATAACAACAACAACAAAGCATTGAAACCTACCACATCTCCCTTTGCAGCCTCTAATTCTGGGGACAATTCTTCAGGTTCCTCAGGTGATGTTTCTGGGAAGAATAAAGATACAAAATTGAAAACATTCCTAAAAAAATTAATCATAGACTTAGTATGTTGTTAAGTGATATCAACTTAGTTCCAACTCATAGCAACCCTCATAGTGTAGGGTTTTTGAGGAGTGGATGGTAGGTTTGAACCTCTAACCTTGCAGTTAGCAGTCCAGTACTTATCCTACTATATAACTCAACAATTTTACTCCTAGGTATATACCCAAGAGACCTGAAAACAGGTGTTCAAAGAAAAACTTGTACGTGAATGTTTATCGCAGCATTATTCATTACAGTCAAAAAGTAGAAACAACCCAAATGTCCATCAACTGATGAATGAATAAACAAAGTATCATAAAACAGAAGACTGTTTTACCATAAAAAGGAATTAAGTATTGATACCTACTGTAACACAGATGAATCTTGAAATTATACTAAGTGACAATCCCACCCATTGCCATCCAAATAAATTCTGACTCTTAATGACCCACTAGGACACAGTAGAATTGCTCCATATGGTTTCCAAGACTGTGAATCTTTACTGGAACAGACAGCCTCATCTTTCTCCCCAGGAGCAGCTGGTGGGTTTGAACTGCAACCTTATGGTTCACACACACAAAAAAAACAAAAACACTTATTGTATGATTCTGCTTATATGAAAAGTCCAGAATAGATAAACCTATGGAGACAGAAAGTATATTAACAGTTGCTGAGGGGGGTAAGGAGAAAGGGGAAGTGACAGCTAGTGGGTATGTAGTTTCTTTCTGAGGTGTTGAAAATGTTCTAGAATTAGAAGATCTGCTGCTCACATGGGAGATTGGAGTAAATAAAACTAGTAGGTTTCCCATCTCCCATGGACTGAAGAGAGGAAGGAACAAACAAGATAGACTTAAAAGACTTTGGGGGGAAAACTAAGAAGAGAGTAAGGCACAAGGGTTGCGGAAGGAAAATCATAAAAAGTGGGTTTGCTAAGAGATGCAATAGTCAATTCCAGAGGCTTAGTGGTAAAAGAGATTCAACTCCCTTGAGAAAACTATTAGCATTTGTCTTAGTTGTCTATTGTTGTTGTTGTTAAGAGCTGTCAAGTCAGTTCTGACCTATAGCGACCCTATATCGGGTTTCCATGGAGCAGCTGGTGAGTTTGAACCACCAACCTTGTGGTTCAAACCAACCTTGCAGTTCAGTGCTTTTTCCCACAGCGCCACACCAGGACTCTCAGGTACCTTGTTTTGAGGAACCTCTAAGTTCACTCAGTGGTACCTCCAAAGAAAGGTCTAGCAATCTACTTCCAAAAAACAAGTCACTGAAAACCCCATGGGGCACAATTCTACTCGGACATGGTGAAGTTGAAATGAATTAGAAACACTGCTGGCAACTGGTGTATATGGTATGTAATAGTTGCCCTGCTATATTCCTCCTCCACCCCCCACCTCACCCCACACCCCGCCTCTGGGCTCTAGAAAAGCATTCCATAATCATACTTTCAATATTATTAGTATTTCTGCAATAATGCATATGCTTATCTATACTAAGTGATTTAAATAGACTATTTGTTGTTGTTGTTAAGAGCCGTCGAGTCGGTTCCGACCCATAGCGACCCTGTACAGGGTTTCCGAGGGTTTAAATCCTTGTTGTTGTTGTTGTTGTTAAGTGCCATCGAGTCGGGTCCGACCCATAGCGACCCTGTACAGGGTTTCCGAGGGTGTAAATCTTTACGGGAGTAGAAAGCCTCATCTTTCTCCCGCGGAGCGGCTGGTAGTTTCGAACTGCTGACCTTAAGGTTCGCAGCCCGATTCGTAACCACTACGCTACCAGAACTCCTTACGGGAGTAGAAAGCCTCATCTTTCTCCCGCGGAGCGGCTGGTAGTTTCGAACTGCTGACCTTAAGGTTCGCAGCCCGATTCGTAACCACTAAGCTACCAGAACTCCTTAATAGACTATAAATACCTTTATTGACATTTAGGTTTGATTTTACCACCAAATAAGTTTAGATGCCAAACTTTTAGTTGTTTGGGCTTTTTAAAATTTCAGATAAGGCATGAACCTGTACTACTACTTTGTTGTTTGTTGGTTGGTTGGGTTTTTAATGAGACTTGAGAAACACTTAAGGAAGTAAGATGTCAGTACAGGAACTCAAAGGGTGTTTGCTCTCTAACCTACCATCCTTCACCAAAAAGGTGTTTGTTTGAGACCACTCTGGTTTCAGTGGAGCAGGCCTCAGTCCCTCTCCAATTCCAAAGACTATAGAGAAGATTCCTTTTAGGGCTGTCTTGGAGGCCCAAATCCTTGCTGAATTTCTACGGGCTACAGGTCAGCTGGAGGGCGTCTTATCAAGTAATAATAAGGCTTAGAGCTGCAGGAGTTACAAATCCTTGTTTGGATGCCATTGTATTCATTTTGAAGCCCCCTCCCTTCTTCCCAGAGGATTCTCTAAGCCATACCTCCCAGCCTTCCTCCCTCCTTCCCCACTTCCAGCTTCTGGGAACCAGTCCCACTTTAAACTGCTATCAATTGAGCATTTGGGAACTAAAAAAAAAACCCAAAAATTTTTTAATATACTCTTTCATTTTTAATTGTGGTAAATAGGTATGTAGCATAACATTTGCCATTTCAATATTTTTTACATGTACAATTTAATGAAATTGTGTTCATCAAGTTGTAAAACAATCATCATTATCCAGTTCCAAATGTTTCCGTCACCCTAATAGAAAATAATTCAGTGTCTCCTAAGTAATGAGTTCCCTTCAGAAGAAAAAAATTGTGCACATTTTAATGTCCTAGATGTGCTGGTGTGGCACTGTGGGCCAATACATGGACTGCAAAGTCGTTTGAACTGCAAGGTTGGTCGTTCAAACTAATGAGCTGCTCCTTGGAAACCCTATACAGGGTCACTATATGGGTCGGAATCAACTCAATGGCACTTCACAACAAAAACAAGATGTGCCCTGCATCTTTCTCCCACATCTACACTTAATCTCTCAACCTAATATTTACAAAAAAAAAAACAAAACACTGCCAATCTGTCTATTCCAATTCACAGGTGACTCTAAAGGACAGAGAAGAACTGCTCCATGGGGTTTGGGTTTGTATTATGAATTGAGTGAAAGTTTACAGGGCAGATTATCAGTGTCACACTCAACAAATCATATATTTTGTTTTATTACACTGATGATAATCCCCTCCATGTACCATCAGTTAACAGTATTTCTCTATGTTCATTTCAGCTTTTTTTTTATAGAAAAAAAAAAAATTCAGGCATATATAATAATTTAAACCACCAAAGGGCATATCCTGGAGGCCGGCTCTTAGTCCCTGTCTTCCCATGAATCTAGAGTCCTCAGCTGCTCCCTCTCTCCATGTCCCCATCTCTGCCTCCATCTCTGGTGTCACTGCTTCTCTGGATAAGGTCCCACATTCCGCTTGTGCTCTTCTCCCTTGATGGTCCTAGGGTCCTCTGTTTCTGGACTGTAAGATTAGCTAATCCCCTGTTTTTGTTACAAAACTTCTACTTTTACAATTGTGACAGTCGTTATTAGTCATGATAACAATTACTCACTATTGAATCATAAGAATCTTGTCCCCATCTCTTTTAACCAGACCCATCTAGACAAATGAAAATTATCTTCCCCCTGCACACTCTTAAACTAAACTCCCTCTTGAAACGTTGTAAGCCAGTGACTTCATGCCTTTATCCCCCCCTCATTTTAGGCAGCCAATGTCTAAGTTGCCCGTCACTGTCTACCCTGTATACAGAGGGAATAGCATTGATACTTGATGTATCCTGCTCTGTTGGAAGTTTGTGCTACTACCTCCATGAGTAAGGAGCTCTGGTAGCGTAGTGCTTATGAATCAGGCTACGAACCGCAAGGTCAGCAGTTCGAAACTTCCAGCTATTCAGCAGGAGAAAGATGAGGCTTTCTGCTCCTGTAAAGATTTACGGCCTCGGACACCCTGTACAGGGTTGCTATGAGTTGGAACCGACTCCACAGCACTAACAACAACAACAACAACACCTCCATTGAGTATACGTCAAGTTCATCAAATTGTAGCAATTTACCCTCATTTACTTTATCAAAATTTGTTTTGTTTTATCATCCTCTAGTCAAGTTCTGATTATCAAGCCATCAAGGCTAGGTCAAATGGGTACTATCTGCAAGTTTGGGTGTTCTTGTGTGTCTCCCCTTCCTTCATATCAGCTGGATACTTCATTCTCAGCTCTAGCCCTCTGTGGCTATGTCCTTGTCCATGGGCTCAGGTGTCCCCAGATCTTACCACACTTTGGACCAACCAGCCCTTCCTCTTCTCTCTCTCATCTGCAGGTCAATGGGAGTCCATGGAACACGGTTGAGCTCAGCCCATTTCTTCACTGCTGCCTTTCCCCCTCTTCCACTCACCAGTAGACCAACGTGGGCACCAGCATGTGTGTTCCCTTTGCGTTTCAGTCTTAGAGGGGGGTGCCCCATAGGGTTTTCAAGGCTGTAATCTTTACAGAAGTAGATTGCCACACCTTTCTCCCACAGAGCAACTGGTGGGTTCAAACCACCGACCTTCAGATTAGCAGCTGAGCTCTTCACCACGGTGCCATAAGGGCTCCTTTTAATATTAAAGGAAAATTCCATTTCCCTGCATGTTGACCAACTACTCATAGTGAAGCCCCAAGTGAAAGAGGAGTTCTAGTCCTGGTGTGGCACTGCAGGATCATGTATTAGACCACTAGACCGCAAGGTCGGTTTGAGCCATAAGTTTGGTGGTTAAACTCACCAGCTGCTCTTCAGAAACCCTATACAGGGTCGCTAAGAGTGGAAGCTGACTCGACAACACTTAATATCAACAACCTGTAATTTAGTCATGTCTCAGTGGTTCAAGCTCACCAGCTGCTCCTTGGAAACCCTATTCAGGGTTGCTATGGGTCAGAATCGACAGCACTTAACAACAACAACAACAACACCCTGACCTATGCGCTAAGGGAACAGCGTAATGACAGGAACAGCTACCAAAAATCTTCCAACCTTATTGGCTCCCACTCATTCACAGGAAAGGAATCCCTCAGATCAAAGCCACACGAGACAGCCTCCTTAAACTCTTTTCTCCCTCAATCTAAGATGTCAGTCTGCTTTTCCTGTCACCCTGAACCTGAACCTCCTTAGTCTCCAAGTCCCTGCCAAATGAGGGAGGAGATACAAGAACCTTCAACAGATGGTAGAAAGCATCAGTGGGGCTTAGGATTCAAAGGGTGGCAATGCAGGCTGAGTCTCCATGGTGATGAGCTTAACAGAGAAAAAAAAAACAACACTATTTGTTTTGCCACCCAGGGTGAAAATGGGAAAAAGGAAGAGATCAGACCCTCTTCAGTGGGATCGGAGCAACCAGGATACTTGAAATAAGGAGGAAAATGCTAGCGAAAGGATTGGCTGGTGAACTCTGGGTGCCCTGGTGGGAAATTTTAAGACAGAAAGAAGAAGTATAAGGCTGGCCAGGAGGCAAGCCTAAAAAAAGGGATCCTGTACAAATTGAAGTCTGCTGGACCTCCCAGGCGGGTGTCACTTACTGCCTGCATCCTGTCCAGAAGCAACAGAACCCTCTTCTCAGCTCTAAGGCTTTCCTTAATTACAAACATCCCCCCTCTCCCTGCTTTCTGAGCACTCTCTTTCCCCAGGCATGTACCCACCAGGCTTCTCCTTGAAAGGCTCCATTTTGGGCTCCTGTTCAGCAGGCAGGGTGCTCTCCACCGGAGCCTGTGCAGTCAGCTCGGCCTGAGCAACCTGAGCAACCTGAGCAGCTCGTCCAACCTGGCTCCCCCCACGGGGGCCAGGCCGCCGCCGCTTCTCAGTTTTGCTGGACATGGTGCCTTTGTCAACACCTGAAGAAACACTGGAAATTGAGAGTCCACAGTAAGATCCCACCCAACCCAGCTTCCTGATGCATTTAATCACTTTGGAATTCATAAATTGACTACCACCCACAGCATCATAATCTTATCTGGGGATACCTGTTTCATTAATCACAAGGTACCTTTGTGTCCAATAGGGGCTTTGGAATCCTTACTTACCTTGGGATACCCCCCTTCCTTCAGGGCATTTGATTGAAAATCAAAGTCAGTCCCTTAAGACATCAGAAAGGAATAGAACTAAAGATGATGGCCCAACAGACTCCCCACTAATGAGAAAAGTTTGCTGTTGTTAGTCACCACCAAGTTGATTCCAACTCATAGTGACCCTATGTGTTACAGAGCAGAAGTGTGCCATAGGATTTTCTTGGCTGTAAATCTTAACAGATCACCCCTGGCCTTTTCTTCCATACTGCCGAGGGAGTTTGAACTATCAACCTTTAGGCTTGCAGTTAAGCACAAACTGTCTGCATCACCCCGGACCTTAATGAGGCCTTGTTGGTAGTGTCATTAGAGCTACCCTGCATAAGGTTTCCAAGGAGCAAATGGTGGATTTGAACTGCCAACCTTGTGGTTAGCAGTCCAGTGCTTATCCTACAGCACCACACCAGTTTTAGGAAGCCCTCATCTCTACCCTGGGTGATACAAATAGGTTTGACTGAGAACTGAAAGGTTGGAGGTTCCAGATCACCCAGAGGTGCCTTAGAAGAAAGCCCTGGAGATCTACTTCTGAAAAATCAGTCATTGGAAATTCGATAGCACACAGCTCTATTCTACATAAATGGGATCTCCATGACTTGGAGTTGACTTGATGGTAACTGTTCGCTCGTTTTTAATCTCTGCCCACATATGAGAACCTAAGATAATGAGGAGATGTACCAAGCTGAGGTACGGTTGTCCAAACCTTCAACCACTCCTGTGTCAATAAGGAAGGACTCAGGGAAGGGAAGTCTGTTCCCAGGTTCCCCACACTTTCTCACTGTGTCAAGTCACTGAAGCAAACAAAGGTGAATTTTCTATGTACCTCTTTTCTCCCCAAGTTACTTCCTGAAAGGCAGGAAATGGAAAAACTCATCCTCCTTAGACAAAGAAACAAACAAACAAACAAACAATATTTAACGCTTGATTCTATAGCTTTTCGTTCCTGAGGGGCATGAACCCTGTTCTGTGTGTACTGAAAAGGTCTCAGTAAAGTTGACTGAGTAACTGTGCTAAGTGATTAAGAAATCAGCATCATTTGACTCCAAATGCCCTGAGAATGGACCTCAAAGCAGGAAGGACAAAAGTCATTCAAAAATGGATTCTGAATGCCTGGGTAGAAGGAAATGGGAGAACTTGGGAGGCTACAGTGAAGCTTCACCCAGAAAAGCAGAATGGCTGGAAACTGGGGAGTCTCAGGCTGGGCCTGCTAGTGTCTGACAGCCACCTGTAGCTCTCCTTTCTCATTCCCACAGGCTGCCACACGCATTGATCATAGGTTATGAATTCCCAACTTGAAGGATTTGTATTTTGCTTCAAGGAAAAGCATTTTGTAAGGCCAACACATCAATAAAAACAACTTCAGCAGCGTGGCTTCCTCCACCAGTCTCCAGGGAAGCATTAGCCCACACTTCCCACCTCAAACTGGAGCCTCAGGAACATCCCGCTGGCAGGAGAAGTGGGGGCCTTCCCTACCGGGTTCACCGCAGGATCTCCCTGGAACTCGTTCTATTACTCAGCAAATACCACAGGGACCCTGTCCTCTCCTCAAACTGTTTGCCAGTGGACAAATTTCCCCTTACAACAGCCTCGCTCTACAACTGTCCCCTCTTTTTCTAACCCCCAACTGCCCCTTCTCTTCCCCTTCCGTCCCTTCTCCCCTTCCCCCATAACTGTCCCTGCCTAACGTCTCCCACAATTTCCTTTCTCCTCCCCCCCCCCACCCCCCCTCCCTGCCCTTTTCTACCTGCTCACTACTGGCCCTTCTTCCCGCAGCTTCCCACTTCTTTTAGCATTCCTTCCCTCTTTTTCTCGGTCCCCAGTCCCCGACACACACCTCACAAGTCTCCCTAGGCCGACCGAGGGGCTACTCCAGCTAAGAAGTTGCCCGGAGTGGCCCTCTCCGGCCTGCGCCTGCACGCGTCACCCTGACAACCCAACTGGCCACTGCTCGAGCTCTAGGAGCAACCTTCTAGGCGCAGGCGCTGTGAATCCCTGCTTCCTTGCCCCTTCTCGCCCCGGTCACCCCGAAGGGCGGGGGTGGGGTGGAGGGCAAGAGGGTTGGAAGGCAGAGGGAGAGCGGACTGGCTAAGTGCAGGGGAGCCTGTGCTGGAAGGTGGCAGCCAAAAATTATTAGCTCCCATCTGCATGTCACTGAAAAGGCAGGCAAAACCCAAGCGCCGGACTCCTGCTCCCACGCCTGTGGGGTTCATCTAGACCGAGTCCAGGAGAGGGCGCGCTGCGTCCCGCCTGCGCGGCTCGTTGGGGATCTAAAAGGCGCTCCAGGATTTCTAGGCAACCAGAGCTGCAGCTGGGGCGGGGAGAAAAACCGGGGCTGGAGCACCCCTGCCCTCTCGCTTGTTCCCCCTTTTTAGTTCGGACTGGGGTCTAGGTTTGCCGGCCCTACAGGGCGGGGGAAAGGAGAGAAGAACGGAACTGGAATTTGTGGAATCTAAGGATTGGCTTTGGAGAGCGTCGCTCGTTTTGGGGGGAACAGAAGACGGGGACTCCCTGGGGAAGGTGACCGGGCCAGGGAAGGCTTCGCTTTCTATAGGAACAAAGATTGCGTTCCAGGAGAGCAAGAGAAGAGGGGTCAGAGAAAAGGGGTAGACCTCAAAGGGTGCTAGGGGGCGCCACCATCCGGGGCCGCAGGACGAGACTCTTAGAAGACCAAGGAGAAGCTTTAGGAAGGCCTGGGAAATAAATAACTGGGAAGAAGCCGAGTACGGGGGATGGGAGGCTCCCTCCCTGCTTCCATCAATAGTGCCTAATTAAGACAAAGCCAGCAGCGAGCCAACTGATTACATTTCCATGAGGAACTAAATTGATGACATTTTCTTTGCTGGATGGGAGGGAGAAGCTGGCCCCTCGGTTTTCCCTTTTTGGTAGATGTTCACACCTGGCAGGTCTCATTATACCAGCCTGGCCCATTCCTGACACCCCAGAAGGGCTGGTGAATTAATCCACACCCTGACCTAACCCTGATCTCACCACCCCACATTTCCCTGTCTGTAGTTCCAGAATTAGCAGCAACCTGCCTTTGCCCCTCCTCCATTACCATTAAGGTGGGGTTCTGGGTTCTGAGATGTGGCCTGCTGTCCAGCCCAAAGCCCCACCCCACCGCACCCCCGTGCAAAGGACAAGGACTATGGAACAGCCGTACTAGCACAACCCTAAGCCAGCTGCTTAGCACGTAGGGCTAAAGTGAAACATGTGGGTGATCCTCTGACTAAATAGGCAGAGGCGATGTGATTGGTCAGAACCCCCAGTGAAGACCCTTGAAGAATTGGAAATTTGAGGGCAAGCATGGGGCAGGGAACTTGTGGGCAGGGCTCATGGTTTCCCTTAGGGAATGGAAGGATTCTAAGACCCCATTCTTTTTTGACTCCCCCTCACATACAACCTCTGCTGTGCCTGGGGATCCCAGCCCCCTACATTATGCTAAATAGGTAATCAAACCTCTCTCGCTTTGCTAATTACTGCTCAATCCGATTAAATGATGTTGAAGCTCATCAACAGAGGTGGCAGTAGGGGGAAGGGATGGGAGGTGGGAACCACAGCTGTGATGGGGGTCTTGTCCCTAGGGGCTCAAGGGGACAGCTGAGAAACAACTAGGGTGGCAAGACTCAGCACATCTCAAAGGGAAGGAGCAGAAGAGTTGTACCCTCAAGACCCTTAGCCTTATTGGATCCTCCCTCCTCTCAGAACTTTCATTACCCTCAGAACCCAGGCATCCGGCCATTCCCACAGCTCCCCACACATGCCCCTGTCCTGGATTTAATAAGTTCTCTTCTCTCACTGTCAATATTTGATTTCTCAGAGCCATCTCCACGGAGAGGAGGGTGGGGGGGGGCCTCTTCCCTTGCTACTCACCCCCCACCTTTTTTGCCTACCCCCCAGTTCCTTTTGTGCCCCCAACCTTCTCCGAACTCGCTGACTTAATGAAATGATATTAAAGTCTTAAGTAACTCCAAAAGAATGGTTGTTATGGTGAAGGGAGTGGGCAGGACGCCTGGGTCCCTGAGGGGAGCAGGGGTTGAGGAGGGGGAGAGTGAGCTAGAGGCTAAGGTCTAGATGCCCTGGCCCCCAAAAGGAAGCAGAGATTTGAGGTGACCTGGGGACCAGATCTCTTGGGGTGGTGGGAAGCAGGAGATGAGGCCTGGGGGCAAGGAGAAGATTAAAAGAAGAAGACCTTTAGGGGGTGTGAGGTCTGAGTCTTCTGCCCAAAGCATCCATCAGGGACAGAGAAGCCAGCAGTGTGTGGAGGGGGGTGAGGGGTGGGAATCTTCTGTGCCAGCAGCCTCCCTGCTGACCATGCCCTAGGCCAGTCCCATGAGAACCAGATTGGACTCTGCTTCAGCCCCGATTCATCCCTCTTCCCCTCTGATCCTCCAACAGACCCCCACAGGTGATTTGTAGCTGATGCCCCCATGATAGTTGGGGCCAGTACAGAGTCATTCCTTGACATGAAGAGCTGAGAGCTTCCAGGAGAGGCAAGAACAGATGCCAAAGGATGGGTAGACAAGCACCACCCCCATCTCCCCCACCCATCCCCATCTCACTCTGCTGGGGACCCTGGCCCAGCCCCAGTCCCTCTGGGGTGGTGGGAATGCAAGGACATTTGGCTAGGGCTGATTGATGAGGGAGGAGGCAGCCACTGGGTACTCAGGCTGCTGTTTGCTGAGCACACAGAATCTTCCCCACTCACCAGCTGCCGCCCCCTGAGGCTTCTCTATCCTCCCCCAACCCCTACCAGCCACTGGGGTGAGGGAGTTGATGCCTAGGTTTATGATAGTAACTGAGGGATACGAGAGAACCAAGAAACTAAATGCTTCAATTCCCTGAGGAATCAGGGTGTACCTGATTCCTCAGAATTCCCTTTAGGACTCCACCTCCCCTGCTATCTTTCAAGCATCCTTCCCACTACCCAATTTTCATTCCATTTATTATGCATCATTTTTCCTATCCCAAAGGAGTCCTGGTGTGGCGCTGTGGGCTAATGTGGCAGACTGCAAAATCATTTGAACTGCAAGGTCGGTGGTTCAAGCTCACCAGCTGCTCCTTGGAAACCCTATACAGGGTCACTATGGGATGAAATCCAATCGACAGCATTTAACAACAACCCAAATATCTAAACCCCTTCCTGCCAGTCCCCTGCCTTCAAACCACCCTGCAACATTCCTCCCAGTCTGTTGATAGATCTTGAAATTCCCCAGAGGAAGTGAGACACACCCCCATCTGTGCTTCCCCACACTGCCTCTTGTTGTTTTGTTGTTAAGTGCCACTGAGTCGAGACGGTTCTGACTCATAGTGACTCTGTGTAGGGTTTCCGAGGAGCAGCTGGTGAGCTTGAACCGCCAACATTGCGGTTCAAACTGACTTTGCAGTCCAGCACATTAACCCACAGCGCCACACCAGGACTCCACATTGCTCCTTATGAAGCAACAGTTTTTATTCCAACTGAAATTCCAGTTGTTGTGACATCAACCATTCCACTACCAGAAATTTCCATTGCAATGCTTTGCCCTACTCCCCTGTCTTCAAAACCCCCAACACAGACCATGCGCATGCACACACACATGCACACTAGGTCTACTATATATCCCTCGACTGTTTCTGAAAGATAGTAAACTCTGAGCTTCGGTCTGTAGCGCAGTCCCCAGGATAACCTCATTCATTTGGTATTCAGGATAGGGGGCAGCTTTACTTCTGTGGTTCCTAGCCCTCTGAGATCCTTTACTTCGGCTTAGCCAGCAGTTGTACCACGGTCTCAAAGAGCTCATCCTTGCTCTCTCCAGAGCTTAAAATGTAGTTGAAGACACAACATACTTAAAGACAAGAAACTGGGGGTGGAAGTAGTGGATAGAAAATCAGTTAGATCATCTTCCTAAATGTGGGTTTTTTAACTCTAAGTACTGGCTCTCCTGCAATCTAAAGCTGGAAGACAGGACACAGTTGGGATATATGTGTGGTTGTGAAACTTGCCTTGTTATTCCAAACACAAGAGTTTACCTTTATGCCTCTCTCTGTACTTGCTGTCCCCTCCATCTGGCATACCGTTCCCCATATTACATGGTTTAGGCCTTCTCATCATTCAGGGTCCTGTTCAGGTTTCTTCCTGACCTCCTATTCCATCTTCTCCATTTTGTTCACCTCACTTATCACTACCTGAAATGTTGTGATATTGTTCCCCACCAAGATGTGGACTTCGTGAGAGCAGGGACTTTGCCTTATTTATCATATACCACTAATAGCGTAGTGGTTACGAATCGGGCTGCAAACCGCAAGGTCAGCAGTTCAAAACTACCAGCTGTTCTGCAGGAGAAGAATAAAGCTGTCTGCTCCCGTAAAGATTTACAGCCTCGGAAACCCTGTACAGGGTCGCTATGAGTCGGAACTGGCTTCACGGCACATAACCACCACTAAATCCTGAAACAGTGCCTGACACAAAGCACTTACTATTAAGTGAGTGAATGAAAAAAATGAATGTCTTGTTGCCCCTCTGTAAGTTTTGTTGTAGTTGTTACCCTAGGAGTGAATTGGATGGCATGTGTAGAAATCACCAGTGCTTTCAAATATTTCAATAGACACACACTTGAAAAAGGCTGGAGGTTTTGTGTTATGTTGGCTGTTGGTGGGCATCTTGAGATGCCAGTGCTCCAAGGGGGTGTGTCCCAGGGTGTTGTGCAGTGTGTGTCAGTTTGCCTCCCCAGCTGTGCATCTGTCCCCAGGTGTCTTCCTGTCTCTCAGCATGCTGCAATGTCTTGGCGGCTTTGGTGAGGTATTTGTCTGTCACAGAGAGTATTTATCCCCACTTCTTTTCCCTCTTGTTTTTCCACCTGTGTCTCTAGATGTATGTGTAGGTGGGGGGGAGAGTCTCCCTCAGCTCCCTTGCCCCCTCACACACACAGCCCTGCCCTAGTCTTGGACCCCTCCCTTTCTCGGTGGGCCCTGTTGCTGGGCTCTGAGTTGCCATAGTGACGGTTGCCAAGTCCCTGAGGCTGATAGCCAGCGATGGGGCTGTCGGCTCCATCCACGCGGGAGGCTGTGGGGGGCTTCCTATTGTGTGGAGAAGGGGATGTTGTCATGCCAACCAACCCCCACTAAGGGGCAGGGACCAGCCCTTCCACCCCTACTTGAGTTTCTTCACGTTGGGCAGCTCCATTGCAGGCTCAGAGCAAATTCCAGGAGAAGACAGCCTAGCACCTGGCTTTCCAGTTTCCAGCCCCCCTCCTACAGTTCCCTACATCTCCCAAGCCCCAAGCATCTTGCTCAGGCTGGGAAAGGGGGAGGGGTCCCAATGGACAGAGAAGAAGAAGGGGGACCCCTTGACCTTTAGGCAGATGGGAGACAGCGGGAGAGGACCCAAAGTCAGGGGAGGGGCCGGCAGGGCAGAGGTTGTGACCCCTGCTGACTCGCTCCAGTGATGCTCCTGACGGCTGCCTTTGTGGATGGAGAATGGGGCTGAGTCGGGGCTGGGCACCTGGGCTTTTTAGGGGAGATGAGCCTGGGTTGTGGGTCTACAGAGATCCGATGCATGGGAAGCGTGATGCCTGGGTCCCCTGTCTTTCACACTTTCTTCCGGCCAGCCACATGCATCCCATATCTCACTTTGAGTCCCCCAACAGCAAAACTTCCCAAAGCAGAGATGTTCTAGGTAGGGGTGCTAGGAAATATACTTTAACACAAGTACATGTTTTCACCACTTGTTTCTGGCTGCAACTTGCCTCGTCTCAGGTGCTTTGTTTTAAGCAATAGGCAAGCCAACTTTTCTCATATGTGGCCACTTTCTAGTCATTTGAATGGATGTGCAGTCCCCATTACTGCCTGGGTTCATCTGTCCACTTCCCACCCCAGGTAATTGCCTAGTGGAGCTTTCACCTTCCCCAACCTCCTCGCCAAGCCCACCTCATCACTCCAAACTAACCCTACCCATTCCCCTTGGTTTCATTATTGCAACCCACCCTCAGTTTGAAAGGCAGTTCTTTCTCTCCCAGTGCATGTCCATTCATTCTCCAACCTTCTCGACAACTTTTGAAGTTTTTTATTCTTTTTTTGTTTGGTTGGTTTTTGTTGTTCAAATTTCCCTTTTACAGTAAAACTAGTGAGGTGACGGCCATACCCTGCCATCTCCCCCATGGCAATATCAACATCCTGTTCCCTGGAAGGAGGATTTAAAAAAATCAGGAAGGAGCTGGGAACTATAGTTACCAGAGAGATGACTTGACCTCTGGTGGACAAAGCAACCATCTTGGCTGGTGATTGATGCGGCCAACTTGGTGCCGAAGGGCAGCTCTGATCTAATGAAACTGAGCTGGGAGGGAACTGAGGCAACACCCAATTGTGCACTAGAGGGTAGAAAGAGGTATAAGCTGGTCACTATGGAAACAGTGGGAGCTGCCAAGTACCACTGGCAGCTAGACCAGTCAGTAGGCCACCATTTTGGTCACTAAGAAGGGAGTTGTGTTGAGTTTGAAAGGAGTAGGGAATGGAAGATGCTAGGAACGAGACAGCCATCTGGGTTACTGGGGAAGAACAGGTGGGTTCTTGGGGTAGTCCTGTTGACTAACAGATTATATTAGGAGATGGGACGGGAAGAAGTACAAGACAAATTGGGCCTTCCACAGTAGATGGCAGTCATTTTAGCTGTCCTAAAAGCAGCAGAAAGCACAAGGGAAGGGAGATCTTGGGAAGTGCCACTGAAAACTAGGAAAGTCCTCCTCAGTCCACCCCTATCTTCTTACAGTCAGTAAGTTCCAGCTTCTTCCTGAAACAGGAAGTTCTTCCTGCCCACTTCTCCACAGAGTAAGAACCATCCACATCCCACCCCACCCACCCACCCAGACTAAGCCACTTCGAGTTCCAGCCAGACCACTCCTATTTCAGAAGTGCTACTTCCTGTCCTGGATGAAGGCACTTCCAGTCCCTGTTGCACTCTTCTGCCACTTTCCAGGCCATTTCTGTCCTGGACTGATCACTTCTTGTCTGGAACAAGTCACTTCCTGTCCCAAATGATCCATTCAGCATCAGACCAAGTCCATACACATCCTGGTCGGTTCATATCTTGTCACTGGTCACTCCTGGACAAAACGGGACACTTCTCATGGTAGCCATTGTGACCCAACCACTCCAAATGGATGAAACAAATATGTAGAAGCCTGGGGGCAGGGGGAACAGGGCAGAGTAAAGGAGGTCTTTCTGCCCATACCCTATACTGGGATGGAGCCAGAGCCTTCCTTGTAAGGCCCCCATTTTTGGTGGACTGAGGGAGTGGTTACTAAAAGAGTTCAGAAGAGGGGCTAAGAACTGAGAGGACACATGACCTGATGTCCCCTCCGACCCCGAGAAAATGGGCGAGGTCCAGGATAAGAAGCCAAGAGGGTAAAAGGTGATGTAGGGAGGAAAATGCTAGGGAAGAAGAACAGATCTAAACAGAAGAAAGATAGAGTAAGAAATAAAGAGAGAGGGAGAAAACAAAAGAGAGAAACAGTGAGAGGCAGAAAGAGATGCCAACCAACAGACAGACTTGATCCTGCCCCAACTCTCAGTGGGTAAAAAGGACAAAGATGCCTGGGTCACGATCAAAAGTAGAGGCTAAGCCTCTTCTCCCCCCTCCCCAAAGGAACAGGGCCCAGGAATACAGAGACAGATAGGGTCACATATGGCCAGTGAGGTGGGAGGTGGGTCAGTGGGCGTTTCAGGAATCCAAAAGTGGAGAACAAGGAAGTAACCAGGTAGGACAATGGAGGTGGCAGGGCAAAGGGGGCTAAGGAGATGCTAGAAGCAGCCCTCGGGCCACAAATTAAATTGGAGGGAGTACCCCATGAAGGGTTGGATCCAGAAGAGCCGATGAGAGGAGCCCTCATACCTTGTAATAGATGTTTGGAGGACTCTGGGGGGGTCCATCCTGTACGATGTACACAGGATGCCCATAATCACCACTCACCTTCTCATAATGGGGACAGAAGGGGGGGTCTGAAGCCCCACTGCCCCTCAGAGCTATCCCTAGTTCCCCAGGCTCAGCCTCCCGAGGTCCCATCCCTCCCCCGCCCCCCAGACCCAGAGGCCCTCCCCTCCCAAAGGAGCCAGGACCAGGGTGGCGACTCTCTGAAGGTTTGGCCCGCCGTCTCCGCCAACACATGGCACACCCAGCCCCTGCCACACCCAGCAAGAGCAGCGCCAGCCCCACCGCTGCCCCGGCCACTGCGGGAACGCTGGGAGTGGGCAGGGGGCCTTCAGCACCCCTGGAGGTTGTATTGCTGGTGGGGTCACCTGGCAGGGAAGGGGTGAAGGAGGAAAGAGGGGGAGGGGCTGAAGGAGCCACCTGGGCATCTGGATATCTAGCCCTGGGGTTCCCCACAGGCTTCCCCACCAATGCCCAGGACCCTTGTGGACCCTACCACCCTTTCCCTCCAAGCCCTGCTCAGAATCCAGGTGTCCAGCCCTCCAGCTCCCTGCCACAGAGTCCTCCCACTTCCCTGACAGCGCTGATTGAAGCACTGACTTGGCTAATTAGTTCTAATTGAGCCTTTTCCTCATTTGGCTTCCATTCCCCTCCCACCCTTCCATCCGTTCTTCTTCTCTTTCCTGTTTTGCCACCCCCAATACTCAAGAGGGAGGAGAAAGGGTGACAGCAGGGCAGCTGGGGTCCTAAAGCAGAGAAAACTAAAGAAGGTGGGAGGCTGGATGGACCTACCTGGCATGCTTTCCTTCCCAGGTTCCAGGCTGCGGGCTGCCCCTCCATCTTTTTCCACAGGCAATTCAGACACAGGTTTTCGAGGGGCAGCCCCTCCTTGAGGACCTATGGGAGGGGAGATCCAAAAGAGGGGCTGAGACAATTGTCTCCTGACCATGAAGGTACTGCCCCAACCTCCCTCAATACCTGGAGGTGTCCCCAAGCCTCACTCACTCTGGCCCACTCGGAGAAGCACCTTCATGCCTCTGGTTAGGCACACACCTCCCTGCAAGCTCTCTAGGCCTTCCCGGGTCCCATCAGATGTGGCTGGGACAGAGAAGCCAGAGGGAAGGTCAGCACTCCAAAGCCTACCCCTGTCCTGTCCCCTTGCCCTGGCCCAAAGACCACCACCAGAGGGCACAGGGGTTCCTCTCTGAGCCCCAGTGATCCCCCTCCCTCACCTGCCCTTTATTCTGTAGCACCTCCCTGCTCCACCCTGCCCACCCATACCAATTATGTAGTAATCGTGGCGGGAGCGGAACTCATGGCCCCAGAGGTTAGGGCTAAACTCCTGGAACTTGATGGTAAAGCGAAGATCCATATCTGGTCGATCACAAGTGAGAAGGAGGTTTGGGGCAGGGGGTGCCTCACAGCGCCGACCCTGGGCACCCCCTACCAGATACAGCTTGTAAAACTCGTAACTGGGAGAGGAGTGGGGACCAGGTGGCCAGGCCCGGGGACAAAGCAGGTCTAGTCGGTCTCCAATCTTAGGGTACAGTACATAACCACCCTCTGCCTGGAACCTGAGGAGGAGAGCAAAGGTGGACAGAGAGGAGGAGATGTTAGAGGTTTGGCCCCAGAGCTTTCCCTCCCTAGCCCCATATCCCTCCAAGATAGGAATTCATAGCTCCAGATTGTCCGTCTTTGTCTGAGCAGAAAGTCTGTTCTTCCAAAGCTGGCACCAAAGACTCCATGAGCTTACATCAGAAACAGCAGGACGCCAGGCTCAGAGGTCTTCTGCCCCTTGGTGTGCCCAAATGCACTCTTTAGCCCGCCCTCACCACATGCACACTGCCATCTCTCGCTCCATCACCAGCCCCGTTGCCATGGCAACAGGATGCCAGTTACCAAGGAGCTGGCCTCTCTGGAACCACACAGCCCACCCCTCCCAGGTGATTTCACTGTTCCATAGCAGTCAACCATGGGGACAGTACCCCTTCCTCTAGGTTACCACCGAATTTCAGGGGATTCAAGGCTAAGGGAGTACCATCGTGCAGGGCAGGGGATATATATGGAGGGTGATCCAGCCCAGTGTCTGAAGTTAGCCAGGCAATGTAACAGGTCTGGAAATGACCCTAAATGGGGCTGCTTAGAACCAGAGTCTGTGCTGTGGTTACCTGGGTCATTCCCCTGTTCCATCCCCTCACCTCAGACCTCAGGTTTCCTAGAGAAAGTATCCTATAGCTTTGCAATGAAAGGAGTTGAGTTTTCTAAGCACAACAAACACAATCCCACCTCTCTCTCAGCCTACTCCACTGCCTCAGTCACTAGTGCCCCCTGCGTCCCCTCCCTGTGCACTGACAGCTGACAGTCTCAGAACTAGGTCCCAAGAGACTGCTGCTCTGTCTCTTTACTCGAAAGTGACCTACTGCCTCCCACCAAAAGAGCTCCCTGAGTACCCTGACTCCCTTTTCTCCATCTTATCAGAACAAGCCTAATATATTCTCAAGCTATACCTGAAACTCAAAATGCAGCTGGGTATTTGGTGGGTGGGAGGCTGAGTACAGAAGAGGCATTGAGATGATATCCAAAGAGTTATGAAAGGAAAAAGACGCCAGGGCTAGGATGTGTAAGAGAGGCTGTGAAGTCAAGAGGAAGAACAATCCTCCTAGCTTTCCTTTAATGAGCATATAATATGTTCAAGTACTTTACCTCTAATCCCCGTAAAGGCATGAGGATTGAGGATACAAACTCATAAAGGTTAAGTGACATGCCCAAGACCACACACAGCAAAAAGCTGCAAAGCTAGGCTTAGAATCTAGAATTTGATGAGCTGGAAAACCCACCCTCTTACCATCGCCTCCCAAAGCTTCCCAAGGAAGTAGGAAGTTTTGGAAACACAGAACTCTTTTGCTGGTAGATGTATGGGGGGAGGGGCGGAAGAAGTATAGTGGAATCCACTTGGAGGCCAGGGACCCAGATGACTTCTCAAAGGTTCTGTCTTCCCCTTGGTGGTTTGAAGCTTCATCTGACCCCTGACCTCTTTTCAGAGTAAAGCAAGCATGCCATGGCCTATGGAAAAGCTTGCAACAAAGATGGGGGACAGGAGCAAGGGTTCTCAGGACTCCAAATATAAGAGGGAAAGGAGGCTTTAGGGGGCTCAGTGTTTCCTCCAGAAAGAAATCCCCACGCCAGGAAGGCAGGAATACGGGGATATCTTCTGGGTGGGAAATTGTTCAGTCAAGGCTTTTCTGACCCTCTCGCTGTAAGCAAGAGTTGAGGGACAAACTGTAAGAAAGGTCAGGAAGCCTCAGAGCCTCTACACTGAGACCCCTTCCGTCCCACCTCCCACACTGAGTCCTTTCTCAAGAGGGAGGCACCTTACCTTCCCCTCAGCGCCTCAGCAGCACCTACTCAAGGGCTCTCTCCTGAGAGCTGACATTAACCAGGCTCCCTGCAAGCCCAGCCCCCATGCAAATTTCCCACAAATCCAAATAACCACTCCAATGCCCTCCCCTAGCTACCCATGAACTTTCTTACCCATGCCTCTTTGAGGTCTCTCAAACTCCTGAAACCTCAATATCACCATCCATGTGTGTGGGACCCAGGAGTCTGACTACCCAGTCCCAAGACCACCTCTGTCTGGTAGTCCATCAACTCCTATCAGGGAACCAGCAATCTCCCTTCTGTCTCCTCCCAACTGAGAATCCAGCCCTCAAAACCTCCAAAAGCTTCCCTAGGTGTAGGGTCTCCCCGAGGCCGCTCACCTCTTATTCGCCGAGTTCCAGTAGACAGGCTCTAGGCTGAGCCCACACACCAGCTCCAAAAAGCCGAGAAGCAGCAGGGCCCCGACTCGCACGCCCCCCGGCCCAGAATGGGGGGCCCCCATGACCCCGCCAAGGCCTAGGGGGCGGGGCACCAACTCCCCCAAAGTCGCTCACCCCCTGGGGTGACTGCCTCACCTTCCCTGGCTATTCTTCCCCAACCACCCCAGTGGCTGAGGTCCCCCCTGCCCCGTTCCTACGTGTCCCCCTTCCTGCTCTGCCTGTGCCCCCGTTCTGGAGAACTCAGTCCCTCAAGAGCCCTTGCAGGGGCCGTCTGCAGGCGCCCTGCACCCCCCACCCCCGGCCCACGTTCCAGCACTCCGGGATTTGGGAGCGGGCCTAGGTGGGGGAATGGGGCAGCTGGGGGCCGGGCGGGGGCGGCATGAGTCGCAAGACTAGGGAAGGAGGAAGGGGGCGCCGCGCCGGAGCCCCAGCCTCGCTGGGATTGAGGGCAGCGGGCTCAGGGAGGAAACCAGTCCCCAACCCAGGAGGGGGAGTTAAAGGAGAGGCGGGGAGGGGGAAAAGCTGGTGGAGGGAAAAGCCGGAGCTGGAGCCTGAGCGGGAGCCGGCGGCCTCGTCCCCAGCCCACGCCCCCCACACCTCCCTCACCTCCACACCTCCCGCCGCCGCCCTGCCACACGCCCTTGCGCCGACTCTCACGCCCCTTTGTCTCTCAGAGTCTCCATCTCGGCCCTAGTGTCAATCGGTCTCCCCTGCTGCCCTCCGAGCACCCAAGTGACTGCAATCTTACTCTCTCAGATCCTGAAAGGCGCTCGCCCTCTCCAACCCACGAAACCAAACCCCTTTCACTCCCGCAGCCTCCTCCTTCATCCCCAAACACCGCTTTCGCTGTTCGTGAGGTGTAGCGAGAATAGCGATAGCCCTGAAAGCTTAGCACTTTGCAAAGCGCTGTTGAGTTGATTGGCGAGACTACCTGTGTGAAGTCGGAGGGGCAAAGTCAAGGTTCACCAGTGCAGTGAGGAAGAAACGAAGGATTAGGGAGGCCCAGTGACTTGCCCAAGGTCACACAGGAAGTCTGGGATAAAGTCTGCAATCAAACCCAGCCTGAAGCTCAACTCCCACTCTTTGGGTCTCTTTTGTGGGACGGGGGCAGGGGTAAAGGTTGAGTGTAAGCAAGTGACTAGGGGGTCTCTTAGGCCCTTCTTAGATGGCTGAGCAAAGAAAATGAGACTGGGAGAGGGAAGCCCCAAACCTCACTCAGCCGGAAGGGCTGTTTCCAATTATCCTGGGGGAAGGGAGGATTTGCCTTCTTGGGTGTAAGAACCCTTGCTTTCAGCACCTCTGGGCAGAGGTGACATTCCTCTCCTTTCCTCTTATGCCTCCGCAGGCGTTCTGTCCCTTCCCTTTGATTGTGAGGTCCCAAACCACCTCTCCTGATGGCTGTGTCTCTCTCTTCAAAGTCTTTCCGTGTTTGGCAAGGTGGTGGGGAAAGGAGTTGTTGCGCTCAACACCCCCACCCTCCACAAAGACGGAACAAGCAGAAATGGAGAAACAAGGAACCCAGGGACAGCTGCTGAATGAATAAGCCCCTCACCCTTGTACTGCATCTCCCCGGAACACTGAATGTGACGTCTGTGGTTTTTGGCACCTTTACTCTTTCATGTGTCCTTGACTCTGGCTACTCTGTCGCCTGCCCCCTGAGGGAGTCCAGGGGAGAAGAGGTGAGTGTTCCCGCTCCCCTTCCCCCAGAGCTGAGTAACAGTCCCTCAGCCGCTAGGTGATGATAAATAGTGTTGATCGCAAAAGAGCGGGTGTCTTGTCTATCACTGTCTGCACAGCCTCACAGTCACACCCAACAGTCTGACACTGAGCTCCTGCCACTCCCGCTCAGCCATGCTCACCCTGACCCCTGCCGCCCCCACCTTGGGAGTGAGATTTCAAACAGGTTTCCCCCTTCAGTTTACCAAGTTGCCTAGCAACCAGCCAGTCAATGGCATGAAGCCCCACCCCCACTCACTTGACTTCACACCAAGCTGAGCATACCCATTGGCTCCCCCATTGGCTCCTACAGTCCCACCTCTCCACCCCTGGTTTTGGAAACAATATGCCCAATGCCCATTGCTGCTGGACAAGGGAACCCACTAACCCCCCTCCCATCCCCATCGTCATTATTTGCCTCCCCAAAGAGACACACAGACTCTAGTATCATATAAAACCTTTTTATATAGAGCCAACCCCACCTCCCTCTGTCCCTCCCTGCCCCTCTTCCCCCTGGTGATCCTCAGGGATGTTGGCATCTGCTCCACCACCACACCACCAGAGCTGAAGTCGACATTCAAGTTGGACATGGCGCATAGACAGCAAGGGAAGGTCCAGCTCCTGTTCTCCTTCATCCCCGCTCTCTGTGGGCTCTGGAAACCCACGCTGACCCGAAGCAGTGGCCAGCAGAGGCATGCTGGGGTGCAGACTGAAGGGAAAGCAGACAAAGTCTGTCAACACCCTGAGAAACATGCTCACTCCATTAGGAAGTTAGTTCCCTCCCCAACTCAAGCCCCTAGATCTATGGAATTGAACTGATGACCTCACTCCATTGGTGCAGTCCTTTTGGGGCAAAAAACTCAGCACCAGCTCTGGCTTCCCGTCTTCTGCAGCCCCACAAAGGTCCCACACAGAGACAGCCCCGCTAGTACCGCCACTCACGAGGAACTTCCCAGTTCTGGAAGAGAGAGGAGAGGCCTACTTGACCTGGAGGCATTAACCCTGGAGTAGGAGCCCTTTACCCTAGAGGCTGGGACTCTGTGTTGGGTCTGGAATTCCCTGGGGCAGTGGAGACCTGAGCAGGAAGGAGTCACAGCAACTCACGGGTCCAGATCGAAGTAGATGCGCTGATTGGTGGCCACCTCCCGACTCAGGGACCACAGTGGATGACCAGGCTGCCGGAGATCCCAGCACAGGAGCTCAGCATCCTGAAGACACAGAATAGGGGCCTGTAGTCCTGCCCTTACCCCAAGAAGCTTTGCTTCGAGGCTTATACACACTCCTTTGGCTAGGGTTCATCTTCTCACCCAGTCCCCCAACATATCAAAGACTACACCTCTACTCCTGCCCACCTGCCTTAGGATCTTAAGATGAGCCCTCCTACCTTGCGGGCTCCTGAGAAGAGGTGGTTGCCATCAGGGTGAAAGCAGAGGTGGGTGATGCCCCCATGGTGCCCCCCCAGCAAAGCAAGAGGTGAACCATCATCCCAGGCATACAGTCCCAGGGAGCGGCTGTAGGAGCCACAGGCATAGAGGGGCTGGATGGGGCTGAAGGCTATGCAAGAGATGATGCCACTTTGGCCCTGCTTCTTTGCTGAGAAGGAAAGAATAAGGTGGGGGAGAGGGTAATGACACCTGGTACATCTGCCTTCTGTGCCTGAGCCAATGTGCTGAGACTCAGTTTTCCCAGTCCTGTTTATCACTAGCAGGATAAAGGCCACTGATGCTCCTTAGATTCTCCCATTCCCCAAAAGGACATAAATGCCCAAGTTCCACTTCCTCCCTTTCAAACACCAGTTTTTCCTTTAAGGATGGAAAGCGGACACCCTACAGGAAAATGAAATCAGCATCACCTCCTATTTCCCAGATATACTAAGATTTTGAACATAGCTGACAGGGTAAACCAGCATTTCTATCCAGCTTGTTGACCTTGGGAAAGTTTCTTCTCTCCGAGTCTGTTGTGTACTCTGTCAACTGTGCCTCCCAGTGCTGTACTGAGGGTGAAATGGAGCCCCACTGTGTGGTCATCTAGGTCCTAGAAGGTTATTTTACAAGTGGCAGTTCCCTTCCCCTTCGTCCTTCTTTGGATGTATAGATGCTCACCAAAGGTTGGCCGGACCTCACAGTCACGGCCAGGACGTGTTGTACTGAAGACACGCACAGTCCGGTTGAAACCACAGAAGAGCTTGGAGCCATCCAAGGAGAAGCACAGTGAATGGGCTGCTGTCAGTTCATCCTGGGGTTAGGAAAAGGCTGAAAACAGGCCACTCGAGGCCCCAGCTATCCTCAGAAGAGGAAAGCTGGGTCAGGAGGAACGTCAGGTCCATACCACATTGGCAGGTCCATACCAGGTGGTTGTAGGCACGAAAGGAAGCCCGGAGCTCCCCAGTGAATGCATCCCAGATGTGAATCGGGTTCTCCCGGCTGCTGCTGGCCACGCTGAGAGAGACACGGATACTGAGGCCCTAGTCCCATCAAAGGAAGGGAGGAAGCCAACTGACCAGCCCTCTCAGCTACCATCTGAAGAGCATACCAGCCTCCTTTCCCTCAAGACTCCCGGCTAACCTTGACTGTGTCTCTAATGAGGGCCCCTGTGAAACTATGAGGGGCTGAAAGGATACCACTTACTAGGAGGTATCTGGTTGGGTTGAAGACATCAGAGAATACCAGCAGTAATCATAGATGGTGTCACCTTCTACCATTCGAAGGACAGGGGCCTAGAAAAGGAGTTAGAGACATGTCTCTGGTAGTTCTATGGCAGAGAGCGATACTGTCTGTAAACACTTAACCAGGAAGGAAAAGACAGATGGGGTAAATAGAATAGAACCTTTAGCTCAACATTCTTAGCGTCAACTCAGATTTTAATACTTAACTGTTCAAACAAATGAAGTATTTAAAAAAAAAAAAACCTAAAAACTCATGATCCTTCCACCCAGCTTAAGAAATTAAGTATTATGTTATTGTTTTTGTTGTTGTTAGGTGCCATCAAGTCGCTATAGACCCATAGCAACTTTATGCACAGCAGAATGAAACACTGCCCAATCCTGGGCCAACCTCACTATTGTTGCCACGTTTGAGTCCCTCAATGCTGTCACTTGGCCAATCCATCTCATTGAGGATCTTCCTCTTTTTCTCTGACCCTCCACCTTACCAAACATGATATCCTTCTCCAGCGACTGGTCCCTCCTGACAATATGTCCAAAGTATGAGAGACGAAGTTTGGCCATCTTGGCCTCCAAGGAGCACTCTGGCTGCACTTCTTCCAAAACGGATCTATTGGTTCTTTTGGCAGCCCATGGCACTTTCAATACTCTCCTCCAACACCATAACTCAAAAGCATCAATTCTTCTACAGTCTTCCTTATTCACTGTCCAGCTTTTGCATGCATATGAGGTTATTGAAAATATCATGGCTTGGTTCAGGCACACTTTAGTACTCAAGCTGACATCTTTGCTCTTCAACACTTTAAAAAGGTCTTGTGCAGCAGATTTACTTAATGTAATACGTCGTTTGATCTCTTGACTGATGTTTCCGTGAGTGTTGATAGTTGATCCAAGAAGAACGAAGACAACTTCAATCTTTTCTCTGTTGGTAAGAATATTGTTTATTGGTCCAGTGGTGAGGATTTTTGTTTTCTTTACATTGAGATGTAATCCATACCAAAGGCTGTGCTCTTTGATCTTCATCAGTAAATATTTTAAGTCCTCTGCACTTTCAGCAAGCAAGGTTGTATCATCTGCATATCGCAGGCTGTTAATAAGTTTTCCTCCAATCTTGATGCCACATTTTTCTTCATAGAACCCAGCTTCTCATATTGTTTGCTCAGCATACAGGTTGAATAAGTATGGTGAAAGAATACAACCTTTTCGCACACCTTTCTTAATTTTAAAACATTCAGTGTTCCCATGTTCTGTTTGAACAACTGCCTCTTGGTCCAGGTACAGATTCCTCATGAGCACAATTACTCATACTTCACAATGTTGTCCATAGCTTGTCATGATCCACACAATCGAAAGCCATTGCATAGTCAATAAAGCACAGGTACACATCTTTCTGATATTCTCTGCTTTCAGCCAAGATTCTTCGGACATCAGCAATGATATCATCCCTCATTCCACAGCCTCTTCTGAATCCGGCTTGAACCTCTGGAAGTTCTCTGTCAATGTGTGATTGTAGCTGTTTCTATATTACCTTTAGCAAAAGTTTAAGTATTATGTTGGTTTTGTTGTTAGGTACTGTCATTTTGACTCACAGTAACTCCATGTGGTGGAGTAAAACTGCTCCAGAGAGTTTTGGGTTTGGTTTTTGTGTTTTGTTTTGTTTTTTGCTATAATCTTTATGGAAACAGAATACCAGATCTTTCTTCTGTGGAGCCACTGGTGGGTTCAAGCTGTCAACCTTTGGCTTAGCAGCTAATCGATTAACTATTTTTACCACCAGGTTCTTAAAATATTATATAAAACAATTAAAATCTCTTCTCTGTAGAAAGCTTCCCTAAGGTAAACACTGTGCTAAATTTATCATTGGCATGCATTTCCTAAGGAATATATTCAGAAAAAAAAATACACACAGCATTATCTTGCAGGTCCTCAAACTTTATATTAGTGACATTGTACTCACTGTATGTGGCCCTCTGCAATTGTACCTGTGCAACTCAACTACTCATATATTGATTCATTTATTTCTAACTCGTACATTTCACTACTGGACAGAACTCCATTCATAAATGCATCCAGATTGCTGTTTCCTTCTCCTCTTGACCATCTGTGGTGATTAATTTCATCTGTCAACTGGGCTAGGTTATGGTTTCCAATTGTTTGGCCAAACACTAGTCTCACTGTTGTTATGGAGCAGTTGTTGTTGTTGTTGTTAAGTGCCATCGAGTTGGTTCCGACCCATAATAACCCTGTACAGGGTTTCCGAGGCTGTAAATCTTTACGGGAGCAGAAAGCCTCATCTTTCTCCCGCGGAGCGGCTGGTAGTTTCGAACGGCTTACTTTAAGGTTCGCAGCCCGATTCGTAACCACTATGCTACCAGAGCTCCTTTATGGATCAGTTAGATGCAATTAAATCAGCTGGCCTTGAGTAGAGCAGACTATCTTCCATAACATAATCTAATCACTTTCCATAATGCCATCTAATATAACATAATCACCTTGCATCTAAAAACTGTGATATCATCTCATTCCACGATGTAATCTAAAACGTAACGGCCTTCCACAATACAATCTAATGTAATCCCTCAATCAGTCAAGGTCTTGTCAGTGTCGGGTGGAGCCTAAACCTATTCACTTTTAAGTTATAAAGACCACAATGGACATGAAGACAGACACTATGTGAGGATTATCTATAAGCCAAGAACTCCAAAGAACCAAGAAATGCCCAGACTTACTGATAAGGAAGGAATTGACATGACTGAGATCCTAATTTGGACTTTTAGCCCCCAGAATTGTGAGAAAATAAATTTCTAGTCAAAAGTGTGATAGTTCAAACCCTCCCAGAGGCACCTTAGGACATGGGATATGCTTCTTGAGAATCCCATCAGTATACAGCCAATTAATGTCAACAAGTTATACAACTGTTATATCTATCACATAATTTTTGAATTGGCAAAAGTTGTAGGATAAATATTGTTACAACAGCAACAAAATAAGAGGGTAGCTGCTAAGGTTGCTTAGGTACAACCAAACACCTCATGGGATTTGACTCCTTGGTTTGGAGTTTAGAGTGATGGTTTCCTGGAGCATCCCAGTTAATTGGCTAATAAAGATTTGGTGCTTCTGTTCTCCCTCCTAGTTCATTGTGTAGTGAGTGTGTGGGGTCTTAAAAGTTTGCAAGGAGCCATCCAAGGCACAGCAACTGGTGGTGTGTTCACCTGAAGCAACAGGCGTTAGGAAGGAGTCAGGAATGCTATAAATCTGGGTTTCTGAAGCTATAAATCTCTATGGAAGCAGAAAGCCTCATTTTTCTCTCACAGAGAAGTTGGTATACTCGAACTGCTGACCTTGCAGTTAGCAGACCAACATGTAACCCACTATGCCACTAGGGCTCCTTAGGGTCAGGAATAAGAGGATGAAATGGAATGAATGTGTGGCTAATTGTCTTCATGAACAACTGCCTCCTTTCTCATGAAACTAGAACTAGATGGGGCCAGCTACCATTATTGAACATTTTGACCTAAGATCCTATGCACAAATCCAGATCAAAAGGGGGGAAATGTAGAACAGAATAAAAAATTCTCATAGAATCCAGACATTCTGGAGTGGTGTAGACTAGGTGAACCCCTGAAACTACTGCCTTGAGATCTTAAACCTTTAACTAAAAATATCCCCTGAAGTCTTCTTAAAGAGTGGTTGCCGTGAGCAGTATGCTTATTTAAGATTTATTTATATGGACTTAGATTGACAACAACTCAAAAGATTAGATAGGAAACTTAGGGGACAGTGAGTTTATATTAATGGGGGATGAACAAACTGGAAAGGGAGGGTGAGAATGGTTACACAGTTCAAAGACCAGAAGGCCACTGAATCGTGCATGTAGAAACCGTGTAGTTGGGGTAACCTTGCTATGTAGCTCAACAACACAATAAAATGAATAAATACAAACCTACCTGTGGAGTAGTTCTACTCTGCACACATGGGCTCACCATGAGTCGGAACTGACATGACAGTAAGTGGTATTTGTGTTACAGCAATAGTTGGGAACGAGACACAGGTGTTGATACTGTTCCATGCTTGGGCTGTGTGCTTTACCATTCTGGTACACATATGGGAGAGCTTCTCTCTACAGTTGCTGTAAAAGTTAAAATTACTGGGCTGGTGTGTATGGTATGCACTTTGTCAACTTTGCTAGATAATGTCAAATTTCCCCCTCAAGTGTTTATCCCATCTTACTCTCTCATTGGCAGAATGTAAGAGTGCCTGTTGGCTCTGCATCCTGTTGTTAGTTATTGCCAGACTTGATTTTTCTTAATCTGAAGGCTGTGAGATGGTATTTCATTAGGATATAAATTTATATTTCCCTCATTACTAGTGAGTGTAAACATTTTCTGATGTTTATTCCATTGCTGTTGTTAAATGCTATTGAGTCAGTTCCGACTCATACAGGTTATTTTTAAGGCTGTAAATCTTTTGAGGAGATATATGACATCTAATATAACACAATCACTTTACATCTAAAAAAACACCTTACATCTAAAAGAAAGTCTCATCATTCTCCCGAGGAGTGACTGGTGGTCTCGAACCACCTGCCACATGCTCCCCATTAACCATTTAGGCACACCTTGTATCATTTTTGCCCATTTCTCTACTGGGTTGTATATCTTTTACTGATTTACAAAAAAAATCTTTACGTAATCTAGCCACCCATGCTGACTTCAGTTTCCACCTCTACACGCCAAACCCATATTATCCATCCCATCGTCTCATAGACAGTTCCGTTTGGGTGTCCCACAGGCACCTCAAACTCAATTTGTTCTTAACAATTTAGCATCTTCTGCCTACAAACATGTTGCTCCTCCTAGACTCCACATCCAATTTTCAAGTCTGAAATGTAAGCACCCATTTTGACTAAAGTTCTTCACCTTCCTTCCACTTCCAACCCAATAACAAGCTTTGCCAATTCCACCTTGTAGGTTTCTCTAGAATCTGTCCATTCCCACTCTCTCCCCTCCTAAGATCCTGTTACACGCCACTGCCTTCTTGCTAGCATTTCTACA